TTTTCTGGCATATCAAGTACATATTTCCTCTGAGACAGACAGATACCCTGCTTAGATCTGACAACTTTAATACCCAAGAAGTATCGAAGTTTTCTTAGATTCTTAGTATGAAATGTCTTGCCGGAATGCTTTTAACTTGGTAATACTCTCGAAATCATTACCAATAATTAGAATATCATCAACATAAACAATCAATAAAGTGTATCCTATATCTGTTTGTCTGTGAACGACAGAGTGGTCTTTCTGACATCGAAGAAAATCAAACTCTAATACTGCACCTAAAAATTTTCCAAACCGTGACCTTGGTGACTGACTCAAACCATACAGAGATTTCTTTAGCCGGCACACACTCTTATAGTACTCGCCCCGCGCAATAAATCTAGGTGGTTGGTCCATATAAATCTTCTTAGTCAAGTCACCATGTAAGAAAGCATTCTTGACATTTAACTCAAATAAGGGTCAATCAAAATTAGCAGCCAAAAAAATTAAGACACAAACAGTGGAGATTTTGGTAAAAAGGAGAAAAAGTCTCCTCATAATTAACACCATATTGAAGGCGGGCTTTGAGACGTGCAATAAAATCATCCAGATTAAATTTAATAGTATACACCCAATGACAACCAACAGTCCGTTTACCTGGCGATAAAGGAAGATCTCAAGTCCCATTATGATGTAAGATAATCACGTCTACTTCCATAGTTTTCCTTTAATCCAGATCAGAAAACGCACCCTGTAAGATCGTAGGAATAGAGATAGTAGACAATTGAGAGGTAAAGCAGGAAAATGCAGGAAACAAGGCATTATAAGACACAAAATTAGTAATTGGATGTTTAGTAACACATGATCTAATATCTTTCCGAAGAGCAATAGATAAAGAGTAGAAAATACCTTGGGAGCTAGGATCTAGAGACAATAAGGAAGACGCAAGGGCACCTCAGTTGATTATTGGGCACGACATGAGTATACTCGAAGCAGAGAAGTGGATGGTAACACAAGAGACAACAGAGTATCCAACGATAAGGGAAAAGGGGTGGTGGAGAAGTGGACGGCCTAAAGTGAAGGTCCAGAAGCTGATCAAGAATCAGAAAATACATAACAGATTTATCAAAGATGACATCAGCATTATTAAAGTACTGACGAAGAGTGGGACTAAAGCAAAGATACCCTTTCTGCGTGTGTGAGTATCTAAGGAATACACATTTGGTAGATCGAGGATCAAGTTTATCGAACCCATGTCCTATGTTATAAACATAACAGACACACCTCAAACTTTATGGGCTAGGGTGAATAAGGGAGTATTGGGTATAAGAACATAATATAGACTTTGTCCATTTAACACAGAAAACAGCATGCGATTAATAAGATGACAAACAGTAAGAATAATATTACTCCAAAAACAATGAGGAACATGCATCTAGAACAACACTGTGCCGGCAACTCCCAATAGATGTTGGTTCTTATGCTCAGTAACACAATTCTACTGAGAGGTATATGCACAGGAATTTTGATGAATAATGCCAGTTTTACGAAGATAAGATGAAAAATGATTAGATTCATATTCCCGAGCATTGTCAGCACGTAAAACACGAATACAACAACCATATTGGGTTTTGACTTCTTTATGAATTTTTTAATATAGAAAATAATTCAGAACGAGCTTTCATAAGAAATAATCAAGTCACACGAGAATAATCATCCACAAATGATACAAAATAAGAAAATTTATTAGATGAAATATTTTTTATTGGACCCCACGCATCAAAATGAACTAATTGAAATGGACTAGACACACGATTATTAACTCTAGACTGAAATGACACACGGTGATACTAAGTTGACAAGTTTCATAAGACACGAACGACACATGACTAAGGTTAGGAACTTGATGTTTCAGATTTTGGAGAAAGGGATGATCAAGACGATAGTGCTACTGAAAGGAAGATAATGAAGTCTGAAGGGCCCGAAGAAAAGTATCAGGGTCAAAGTAATAGAGACTACCAGTTTCATACCCTGTTACAATCTTTCTCTTCGTTTGGAGATCCTAAAATACACAACAAGAAGGATAAAAAGTTAATGAACAATTAAGGGAGTGGATAATCTTGCTAATATGAAGTAAGCTAAAAGAAAACTAAGGGATAAATAAAACGGATGATAAGGACATATCAAGACTCAATTGAGTAGTCCCTAAACCTGAAATTTTAGAGGAAGTACCATTAGCAAGAGTAATACTATGTGGGGAAGTAACGGACTAATAAGTAGAAAAGATACTAAACGAACCAGTTATGTAGTCAGAAGCGTCAAAGTCTATGATCCAATAACTGCAAGTAGAGGACAATAGAAAAGTGGAAGCGGTACTTGACTGGGGAAAAGTAACAGTGGAGGAAGATGGACCAGCCTGCTGAGATAGGAACTGAGTATACTCCTCTCATGTAAGAGTAACAGATCCAGAGTCAGGTAGAGTAGACCGAGGGACAGAAGCAGGTGGGGAGGAAGTGTCATCCTGATAGGAAACCTGATTAGTAATGCTTGAAGGCTTGCCATGTAAATCCTAATAATAATCAACAGTGTGGCCTCCACGACCACAATGAGTGCATGAACGAGAACTAGCTTGACCTCCAGTACTGCCTTCTCGTCCTCCACAACCACCTAATAGCCACGACCACCTCGAGGACTATCACTGTGACCAATAGGAACAACTAGTGCTGAGTGGTCAGTGGGCAAGTCATGATCAATGCCTAAGGAGCCAGTAAATAAGGTAGCACACTGTAGACAAGAGAAAACCTCAACGAGAGATGGAAGACTAGAGCCAACCAAAATCTGATAGCGAATAAATTCATTTTTAGGTTTCAAACCTATCAAAAAACGAACAACATTCAAATTCTCATGTTGTTTCTGCCAAACTGCTGCATCAGTAGTGAATGGGTGATAGAGCTTCAATTCCTCACAAACTCCTCGAACGTGAAAATAATGATCCTCAAGACCTAAAGTATCCTGCTCCAAGCAAAAATACTATTTACACCTCATATGCACAAGTGAAATTACCTGTGCCAGAATACATGACGGTCAAGTGATCCCAAATTTCTTTGGCAATGTCAAGATAAAGCAAAGTAGAGCTAATACTGACTTCAATGCTATTCAATAATAATGAAATAATCTGAGCATCTTCTTGTTCTCATCGATCATACCCAGGAGAACCTTCCTTGGGTTTAGTGTCCACTAAATATTTCTTAAAGCCTTTACCTCTAAGAAACACTTGAACTGATCGTGATCATAAAACATAATTAGTCCCATTGAGCTTAACAAAGGTTATAGTTGTACCATAGAAAAATAGTCCAAAGAAAGTTGAAGAAACAACAAAGAAATGTCCCCTGAGTATGATTCGGACGTAAAGAAGTCTCAAAACTGGCCAAAAATCACACAAGCCAAGGTGAGATGACTAGATAGCTGCTGAAATATACTTAACCAAGTCTGAACCGTTCAAAAACAGTGTTGAACCGGACTGAACCAAGTCTGAATCGTGCAAAAACAGTGTTGAACCGGCCTAGATCAAGCCTGAACTAGTGTTGAACTGACCTGAGAGATGTTGAACCGAAAATGAACCGGTTGGATAACTGTTGAACTGGTCTGAACAAATTGGGCTGCCAACGAACTGGGCTGGACCAAGCCTCATTGGGCCTAAGATGAACTAGGCTCAACCTGGGCTGGATCAGATCTCTTGGGTTGAATCAAACTCCTTGGACTTGAACTTGGGTTGCTGGGCTTTGGGAATTATTTATGCCCACACCCGTGAAATACCTGATCTGACCCGACAATAGGAGTCGTCTTCTTCACTATAAGGTTTCAACTTTCAACGAAACCCTAGCTCCAACAGTGGATCACACATATGTCACAACCGAACTGTAGTGACCACACCCACGACAACCACAATGCGACAGCCCACACGATCACAGAGAACTTTCACTTGTCACAACACAGTCACGATATACATCACCGTCAACAGGGAAAGCAATGACGCACTCCAACAACGCCTCCGATGACCACCAGATCTACAAAATCACCAACAAAAGTTGACACGACCATCACCACCACAACCACATGACCACCACGATCCGACTATTACACCATCAACTTCAATCAACACCAATAGCTTATTGAGTGCACAATTTCAGTGCAAACCCATCACCCACCAATCGTGGGATGCACGAGACCAGGACACAATTCTCACAGAAGGTCCACAAAAAAGAAAAGAAAAGAAGAAAACAGAAGGTGAAAAGAAAAAGGAAGAAAAAAAGAAAAGATTATTAATAGCAGATTAAACTTTGACCTAATGGCTCTGAAACCATGTTAAATTTAGAGTAAAGACAAACTTAACCCAATATGGGAGAGGCAAAGAGAGGTTTAACATGCCCTATCTCTCACTATCAACTTGTATTTATAGTTACTGAACAAATGTACTAAAGACAAGTATACTCTCTGCGAGGTATACATATTACAATAAATGTAAACCCTAATATAATAATAATACTCTCAACACCGCCTATCCTGGATATTTTTTCAAGTGATATAGGAAGGGTAACCCCACAATTACTTACTTGTGTCCTGTCTAATCTGTACACATGTTAAAATTTGCTATTGTTACTGTTAATTGAATAACACGCTATCTTCATTGCATTTTGACTTTGCCAAAAGGATATTAGATTGTCAATTGTCTTGTACGTTGTCAAAGTGAGGTGGGCACTTGGAAACAGGACTAACCACATTCTGTAATGGGGCGAGAAGTTAATCATGCCTGAGTTATACTGTAATAGATATCCAATGCCTTTGTTCCTTGCATGCTGTACACCAACTAACCAGTCTCTCAATTGTCTGAGCTTTTCTTTGGTTCTTTGTTTACTTTGAGAAGTGATTATGGGCAACTAAATTTCATGACCAGCTAGTTTGCTTTGACGGACATGGCAAGGTTATATTCCTTTGCGTATTTATTGTTTTATATGTATGTATGTAGGTTCCATGAGACTGATTCAGGCCATCATCCCTCACATGGCATCTAGGAAGAAGGGAAAAATTGTAAATATTGGAAGTGTAATCGCCTTAGCCCCCGGACCATGGTCAGGTGCTTACAGTGCTTCCAAAGCTGCTCTGCATTCACTTACTGATACTCTAAGGTTTGTGCAATATGTTGTCCTTCTTAATCTTAATTTGTACTTCGTCTTATTTGCACTAGTATATCAACCTACCTCTACCCCTACCCCTACCCCCTCAACAAAAAATTAAAAAAATAAAATAAAAAAGCTTAAGGGTGGCAGAAGAGAACACCTTCAAGGTGTTGCCAAGGTTGACTTTGTCTTGACTTCAGTGGACACGATTTGTTTTTCCTAAAATATACATTTCTTCTCCAATCTGCACTGTCTCCATCTCAAATCTACTTGGTTAGAACTATGGTCACAGAAGATATATTGGGTGCAGCATGAATGTACAATTATTTAAAATATACATAATATTAATTTTTTTTTTTTTTAAATCAAGGTGATCCCATCCCCCCCCCCCCCCCCCCCCCCTC